TCTCTGTGCTGCTGAAAAACAAGCGTATGGTTGTTACAGCCTTTAGAGTTGTCGTGAAGACCTTTACTATACACACTTTGTATAAACCTGGTGTGTACATAATTGTGTATAAGTACTATTTACTTATTGGTCAAACAATAGCTCCAGTCTAGTGGTTGTTTTTGGTTTTCAGTATTGACCCAATGGCTCTTATTTATTGACTCTTCCCTTCACCTCCTAAGAGAGTGCCTGTAAGAAGTGGCCTCTGTTACACAGTCATAGTCTGTCGCTGGAAAGGATTATATGGGATAGATGCAATCACATACTGTTGCGCCTGCAAGAGTTTTTTCACATAGCTGAAAACTGGGCAAGTTCATTTCCTCTCTCTGAGTGGGCAATCCTGAGATGCAGCAGTCTTGGACAAACTCTCATTTCCTGATAAGAGAGCGATCTGCAAGTTGAGATATGGTCTAGAGGTCTTCTTGATAGCTAATCACATCTCACTTGCCCTGTCCACTTTGTCAAACCTGAGTGGTAAGTTTGCAGGCTCTTCCTTAGTCCTTATAACAACATCAGGAACATCAGGCCCACAGGCAGACTGTCGTAAGAGACTCCATCTCCTCTCAAGCTCAGGAAGTTGGTTACACTTGATTTAAGCCAGAACTATTACGCATGTTGCCATCAACAGCTACAACAACTCCAACCAGCAGTCTAAGCTTCTTCCTCTAGTTTTTGAATGTATGGGGTTCAAGGAGGTCAGTCCTGAAGATGTCACTGGCAGGTCTGACAGTGAGCATGCCCAAAAGAGATGTAATGGAAAAAAGAAGTTTCCGTGGAACCAAAAGGGTCCAGTTACTAACTTGAGGAGCTTGATGGGCACTTCCATTTTTTGGGTTCTGTCTACTTTCAGAGGAAAATGGCCTAGAAATAAATAAAATGTAGCATATTCTTACTCCTGACAAGGTGTGCTCCTGTTCAGTCTACAGCACTAGAGCTGTAGCTCTGTTCACTCCTATAGGGCAAGCAGAACTAGGAGTAAAGAAGGAATGACCATTTTTGTTCACCCATCCCATGAAGGCCTTATTCTGCTGTAAACTGCTAAGTGACTATTTAATAACTATTCAGACATTCATAATCTGAGTTCAATAAACACAAGAAGAGACAGAAGAATTGCTCTTGTTTCCTACTATGCTAGGAGGAGCACTTCATGGAGACTCTTTTCTACCCACAGGAGTTCTCCATATGATCCAAAACACCAAATTATGTCAAAACCCACAGAAGTAGAGCTTGCTGTCCTCTTCATAAAGTAACATTCCATGCCTAATGTGCAACAAGAATCCTAGCACAATCCTCTAAATGTATTTTGTATATTTACTGGGCTCTAAATTAAGAATACCTGAATTGGGCTGACATAGAATAGTAGTTCTGGAGATGGAAAAGGCATCCCCATAATCCTAATTCTCTTCTTCCTGGACACTTACTATAAGCTGTCAGACATTTGAAAAGATTAACTCCCCTTCTGCCTCTACAGTTGACTTTCCTTTTGTGTAGAAAAGGTTGATTTCAACTGACACCAAACATTCTGTGTTTCAAACTTCTGTTAGACATGGATGGATAGATGCGCTGATAGATCAGATAGATTCACTGCCTGACATAGTTTTAGCTTCATTAGACCCACCTTTCTATTCAGGCTCTACTGCCATTAACATTCTGTAAGCTTGCAGGTTCCTGCTATGCAGGGTTTTGTGCTTTTTTTACAAGAAAACCTATATACTTCTGCATGCATAAGCTCTGCCCTGAGTATGCAAAAGTCACTATGTCTTTTGTCTTTTTTTTTTTTTTGGAAATGAAGCCAGGCTATCCCCTCCAAAGTGAAAGACAATCAACCACCCAAGTTTATTATTAGAGGGAATGATATTACTAACAAATGCAGTGTTACATATTTAGTACATAGAAGCATCTGATAGGAAACAGAAGACCAAGAATTATTTACAATTTTTTTTTATAAAACAAGCCATCTCCACATACAGATATAATCAGGCACAAAGATACACTGTAATACCTGTGTGCTTTATTAATTTCATCAGTTTAACTAACAACCTGTATGATGTTTTCATCAGCTGAAGAAGGTGTAGTGAAGATTTGACTCTGCTATTAAATAATTCAGTTATTATTTTTAATAATTTTTAATTTAGCCATATTTTCCCAGAATCTACATGATGTCTGTTCACCAAACATCAACACCATGCAAAAAAGGGGAGGAGGGGCTCTACAATGAACCAATACTGCTTTAGCAAGTATGCACAATTTTTAGTTATAATTTTGAGCAAGCCCAAACCCTTCTTCCTGGAATGTTGAACTCACTTCTTCACCTAGAACTTTAAAATATGAGTTGTCTTTGGATGCTAAAATATAACAATATCTACCATAAGAAGTCTCTCTAAAATGCATGTATAAGCTGTTGCAATGTTAAAAGGCTGTTTAATTGTCCCCAAATTGCATAGAACTAAGAAATACATCTTTGCTCCCAGCACTCTAACTTCTCAAATGAGTATGACTGTTATTCAGTAGCTGATTACTTATTATACACTTTCATATGGTTCTGTAAGAGTACAAAAAGATTTGCTGAGCAGTTCCTAAGCACTGCATAAGAGTTCATTTAACTTTGCCCATAATTAAAGTATTCTTTTTTCTACAGACAAATCTTAAAGTCCTTATTTAAGCCTTAAGCCAGCCAAGTCAATTAAAAGTAAGTTAATGGAAGACTGGTAAATTAACACTCATTTTAAAAGTCAGTAATATATAACAGTCATTGACTCTTCAGTTTGTTCTTTCCAATTTCTACTTTTTGCTTTTTCTGGTCAATATTAAAATAAATCTGTATATTGACCTTATTCTTTACTACTATATACAATTTTAGTCACAAACTTTCCACAGAACTAAACTGATACTAAAAGCCAAATTAAGTAAGTTCACCTATAAGCAATAAATTACCACAGGGAAGCTATTAAGTTACAGTACAATGCTTCTATGCCAAACTTTCAAGTTTCACTTATACACATTTTTGGAATTAGCAATTCTCCTCTTTACTGAGAGCACAACTATTCTACCAATGTATTTCAAATATTATCTTGAACAATAGCCACACAAAGAAACAATAACAATTATATTAATACCCATCTTTAACTTAGAGGAACAAACTGTAAGCAGATGAAGCAAAAATCAAACGTCCTTTCCAGGACCATGGACAAGACCAACCAGCTGGTGCTTCCTATAATCAACCTAAATGTGTTTTGTGTACAATGTGAGGCATAACTGTGACTGACTAGTCCTTTGATCTTCTATTTTTGGTAAATATCGGATTAAATGTGTATTAACATGATCATTTATTATTTTCCTTTAGCAAATACTTCTCAGGCTTTGTTGAGTACCAAACCACATGTTTCCAATTCATTTATTTATTTATATTTATTTAAACCATTTTTATGCCGCCCCATTCGCAAAAAGCCTCAGGAAAAAAATTTCCCTGTCTGCCTGCTCATCTAGACATTAAAGTTGTAATTCTGCCACAGCCACTCCTAGTTTTTACCCGATAAACAAGCATAAATCAAATCTCAGCAACTGAGTGAAAAAAAGTTCTTAATTTTAAGAACGAAGAGGAGAATAGCCAGAGGTTCAAGGCTGATCTTCTTCATTCTTTCCCATAACCAGTCTTCTTCCAGCCACTTTTTGCTCTGCTGATCTCCAATTCCAGAAGTGTGTTTGGTGAGAGAAAAGTATATGAAGGGAGGACTTTAAAGGAAGTAGTCCCACACACACATCAGTGATATCCATGACTGATTTATTTTAAAAAGATATTTCTGCCACTATCATTTCTAGTTTCAATCAGATGCATAGGCATGAGCTCAGCATTTTTCCATCCCATTGATTTCAATGAAACTGTTAAGAAGTGCATGCTTAAATTTCTCCTACTGAACACAATGGGGTTAATTGACTGTATTTTTCCCCATTTGTGAAACAACATTAAAGTACATACTGATCATGCAAAATATGGTTTATTTCTTATAAATCTATTCACCATTCATTAGAAGGATAGTAGTTACCCTCATAACCTTTTCCCTTATTTATCAAGCAATAAATTGCTGAACAAAGAATGATGGTGGCGTACTGTTTCCTCTGTCTTTTGAAATGCTTTGTTCATACTTTTCTATATACAATGTTGCTCATGTTGTGGTGGTTGTCAGGTAACCAAAAACCTCACTTTTAGTTCAGTACAGATAGGTAGGTTTCAAATAGGATATTTAATAAACAAAGCAGAAATGTTGTTATTTACTATTCTTGCTTTGAGCAAGTAATCTAATGCCCAGCTGTAACATGATCAAAAATGAAAGAAAATACTTCTCTAGTGTTTTGACTAAGCTATTGCAAAGATTTCAGAATAACATGACAAAATGCGCTATTCAAATTAACTCACCTCCTCAAGCCAAATCCAGCCAGTATTATACACTTCGGAGCATCAGTCATCTCAAGGCAAGACTTACTCTAAGGCTTAACTCATTCCCAATAAAACTTAAAACTAATTGCCACGTGCTGGATCCTTTCACTTCTTAAGCAAATAATCTTATACAACCTCATCAGCAGAAATACACCACTACATAAGCTGTGGATTGATAAACTTATTGCCACTGATAAACAATTAGACTTCCCACATGAACTTCAGGAATGCAACAATATAACTCATGTTCCTCCTCTTGTTTCTTTAACAATGAAACGAAAATAAACCATCTTAAAAATGTATAGCTGCTCCACTATTGCCATTTTTAATCCTTCTGATCAATTCAGAGAAGTTGAGCTGACATACTTCTGCACATCTTCATAAATAGATCATAAGCACTTCTTTGATCAAAACGTAACTCTGCATCATCACTTTTCTCACAAGCCTTAAAAGAACCAGCAACACAGCTCATCACAACAGCTCTTTATATCTTGTTCAGGCAAATACAAAACCCATATGCACTTACCCCAGGGTGGTCATAGTGACAATAGTGTACCAGAAAGCGGCAGGGATGCTGGTGAACTTGGTGGCTGATGAACCCTTCTCAGCATAGAACATGACCGTAGCAAAGATAATGATGGCCATAGTGAGAGAAAAGAGGAGGAAGCCAAGCTCTGATGCACAGCTTTTCAGAGTGTAGCCCAGGATGCGCAAACCCTGTGAGTGGCGGGAAAACTTAAAGATCCGGAAGACCCGGAAGACACGCAGTGTTACAAAGGCCCCACTGACATCCTCATTGTTGGTCATCACAAGGGCAATGTAATAGGGCATAATGGCCACAACATCAATGATGCTCATGACACTACGCATGAACTTATAGCGGCTGGGAGCAGCCGCCAGACGTAACAAATACTCAACTGTGAAGATCATGACACAGGCCGTATCCAGGCAGAAGAAAGCCACATCATAGCGCTCTCCACAGGACAGCTCCTTGATGGCACCAGGACTTACCCCACAGGGCACTGTCTCCACCACGTTTGCGATGACAGAAACAGCAATGAAGAAGCCTGTGACATAGTAAAAGACCAGAGCCAGTGTGCTAGTGTGGGGATTTTCAAAGGCCCGCCACATCCTTTCTCGGGTTGTCATGGAAGGCAGTTTGCATTCATCAGCGGTATCCTGATCGGCATCATCCTGAAGACGTTCAGCGTTTTCCCGTCGTCGATCCTTGTATTCCTCGTAGCAGCAATCGCCAATGATCTCAGGGATAATACCAAAGAAGGCCAGCTCCTCATCATAAGCAGAGATGCATTCTTGACGGGGGTAGTGTAGTTTTCCTGTTCGATAAAAATTGAGGATGTGTCGGAAGATGTCAGGGTCCCGATCAAAGAAGTATTGCTGTGTCTCTGGGTGATAGAAGAAATCCCGCTCTGAGCTGCCCAGCAGCGTATCAGGATAGCGTTCCAGAGTGTCCAACCAGGTCTGGAACTGGGTGCCACTCACATTCAGTATGATTAGGGAGTCCTGACTTCGTTTCCTCTCCTGTCGGGGAGCATTCGGCATTGGGTTTGTGGCCACTGGCATCCATCCTATAGCTGCCGCCCGAGCAAAAGGCAACCAAGCTGCTACACCCGCTGCCATTGTATAGGCTGCTACTGGTATTGCTGGGAGGTCTCCTTAGAAAAAATCCAGATTACTAAAATGTAAAAACAAAATGTACCATGTGGTTAGGATATGCAACACGTTCTAAGTCATAGAAAAGCTTGGCTATTTTTTCCTCTTGCTTCATGTTACCTTCCCCAAACTGCCATTGTTTCCCATTCTTCAAATAGACATTTGATTTAATATCTTAGCAATAGGTGCTACATGCAAGCACAGAAGCATACACAGAAGTCTACTAATGTTCAAAATCTTCTTTCTCAATCAACAGGAAAGATGTAGAACAGCATAGCTAATGGATACTGTTTGCACAAAGTAAGCAGCCAATCAACTAGGTCCTGGAAGCAGTAAGCAGCTGATTTGTCAGGCCACAAAACACAACCTCTAACAAAGAAGTTTGCAGTTCTAGTTTGATTCCTGAAAATGCATTCCAAATGCTAACCCAAATCTTTTCCTACCAGTAGCCAACTGAAAATAAAGGAGAAAGGAAAGATTAGACTGAGTTGCCTTGGGTAACTCCTTAGGTTGGTGCTACTGAAAAAAATACTTGCTAATTTTACCTACTCCACCTATTGGTAAACAAGTGTAGAAAGGAGGCTTGAAGACAATGAATTCAGACCTGATTCCCTTCATTCAGATCATCACCTGAAACTGATAATTCAGTTTCTCCTGACTCTTCCCATTCTAGGAAAAGAGAGAAAGGGATAAAGGAAACACAGCAACCTCAAACTTAGGTTAAAGCTTTTTTAAACACAAACAGCTCAACTCATGAGGAACAGGTGGTTAAAAGAAGGGCATTTAAAATATTTAAAGCCTCAGTAGGAAAATTGAAGTGAGTTTTTAAAAAAGTGGGAATTAAGAACGTGAAATCAAAATAATTAATTAGTGGGAGACTAAAATTTTGACTTGATCTAGAGAAAAGTTCTGGAAGAAGAATCACCTGTATAATGGAGCACACCTGAATGCAATGAAGAAGAGGAAAAGCTAGAAGCTGCATCAAAAGACAGGGAGGAGAAAAACTCAAGAGTACTTTAAAGGAAAGTTTAGCAGGGGAAAAAACAGTCATATGTGAAGAACATGAAAAGGGAAAGAGATGTGCTGGGAGTTCGGTCCTGAGAGCAAAGGAACTGTTTTAAAGGGACATTTGTAATGAGGAATGAGGGAGAAAGGGAGGAGGAGGAGCCCTAATAAGGAAGAGCAGTTGAACTGACACAGTCTTATTCGTTGAGGTAGTGAAAGGCAGGACTGGGTGAGTGTAAGCGTGCGTGGTGGAGGGTCCTCTGCGTGACCAAGCACAGCTGCGGGAGGGAACAAGAGATCCCGGAGTCCTGTGGATGGAGATGAGCACCAATGGTGGACGGGGCTGGAGAACCACAAGCAGTGCGTGTGTGCGAAGGAGCACAAGGGCGACAGATAAAGGAGGCTGCTGGAGTCCCAGGAGACTGCGAGGGGAGAAGTTGCAATCTATGGCACTGCCACTTGCAGCGCAAAACGAGTTGCGGGAAAGGGAAGCGTGGAGGAGGTTTGGGAGCGGAGGTCATGCAAAGAGGGCTTAGGCAGCTGGTTAGTTCAGGGGGCTCGGCGAGGGCTAAGAGCTTGGGGGTTCTGCTAGAAATACCGGGGGATGGAGGGGAGGGAAAGGAGGTTTGCTAGTTCCCGGGGTGCCAAGGGAAGCTCCCGCTCTCCGCCCGTTCCCAGCCGTTCCGCCCTCCCCCGAAGAGCGCCGCCCGCGCCTCTTCCCGCCACCCACCCAGCCCAGCCCAGCCCAGCCCAGCCCCGCTGCGAGCGCCGCTCGCCTGGGCGCCTCGCGCGAGCCTCTCCAACTCTCCCCGCCACTTGATGCTGCCCAGCAGGTGGCACGGCGCCCGAGCCTCCGGTGGGGACGGGATTGGGCAGGGGGGCGGGAGGGGGGAGGCAGCAAGGGGAGCGAGCCCGCTCGACTGCGCGGGGGCTGCGCGGCGCGGGCGGGGGCGCCTCTGTCGCGTGCGGGAGGGCTAGGCAGGCGCCCCCGCCGCGCTGCCCTCAGCCCGCCCCGCGCCGCAGCCCGCTTACCGTGGCAAAGTGCGGCCGGAGCGCTCCGCTGGCATGGAGAGGACTTCGAGGCGGGCGAAGTGGAGGCGCGGCGGAGGCGGCTGCTGGTCAGCCCGCCCTTCTTTTCCCCTGCTCTTCCCCTCAGCAGCAACAAGTTCAACGGCAGACGCGGGGGACGGCCAGGGGGCGGAGAGCGACGCAATCCCGCCTGGCAGCAACTCAATGCAGCCCCTCGCCGCCGCCGCCGCCGCCGCCGCCGCCTCCCAGGAAGGAGCCCGGCTCGGCGGCGCTAGTCAGGCAGAGAGCGCTGCAGCTGGAGCTGCTGTCCATGCCGCTGGCTGACCGCAGAGGGCAAAAGGGCTGCTGGGGACACGGCTCCTCCTCGCTCCCGCCGCCGCCTCTCCGGTGGGTGGCCCATGCCTCGCTGAGCCAGCCGGGCGAGGGGCTCGCCCGCGGCGCCTGCTGCTGCTGCTGCTGCTGCCGCCGCTGCCGCTGCTGCAGAAGAGGAGGGCGGCGGGCGCGAGGCGAGGCGAGGCAACGCGAACGGGAGGCAGAGAAACCCACCCTGCTGCCGCTGCAGGTGATTATTTCACCGGCGGCTTCTTCGCCTTTCTTCCCCTGCAAATGTCACTGGAGGGAGAAGGAGGCGGCGGGAGTCGTGGCGAGGAGGAGGAGGAGGAGGGCATCGATCCGGAGAGGAACAAAGAGAATTACAAATCGGTGCACACTCCGGCGCTTGCTAGCACAGGCGAAGGGACTGCGTGTACGCGAGTGTGTCGCTCTGCCCCATCCTCAGCGGCATCCTCTCTCTTACACACACGCACACTTAGACGCCTCGGGAGCTCGAGTCCTTTCCTGGTTCTGGTGGGAATGGAGAGGAAAGAAGTATTTATAGATGATTTTTTTTTAAAAAAAGGGATGGATTGTTCTTATCAAGAACCGGAGTTTCCGAAAACTTTGCGGGGTTCCTTCCCCACCCCCTTCAAACGCCAGTTCTCCGCCGAAAACTAAGTAAGGGAAGGTTATGCAACGCGCCCCACCCTCTCGCCCCAAAGGACCGCCGCATTTTAGCGCGCCTGTTCAACTCGCCTTGAATCAGGTTTCTAAAATGATCGTCATGCCGAGGATGGTGCCTGGGGGACCCTCCTTCCCCCAGCCGCCCTCCCATCTATCCGCCTCTCCAAACGAGGTTTTCTCCTTTTTTGACCACTAGATGGCAGGCGGAGGACGAGTAGTCCTCTGCGACTTCGCTGCTCAAACTTCAAGGAACAAATCTGGCCTAGGAGTAGTAAACTTGTTGACTGGGCTGTGCCACTTCTGATCTGGATGTACATAAATCCGTACTTCCCAATATAATATGTCGTATTGTGCAGAAGCCGTATACTGACATTTTATTGCATCAAGCATGTAAGCCAGCGAGGCCCCTACCTGCAAGCTAAAGGAGGACAACTCTGGAGGATCCTTAAGTCAAAAAGAGATGAACTGGTTGCAGACAATATGATAACCCCTCTCGCAGAATGAGTACGGATTGCGTGTGGGTTCTCATTGAATTGTGGGTTGTTGAATTATAGGTTACCATGTTGTCTGAACCCAACAGCACTACAAGCCATGACTGGTTAACCATAAATAACCTGTGTAGAGACCCTGTATTTGTTTTTGGTTGTAAAGGGTCAGGTGTCCACCATACAGTACTATGTATATAGAAAAAAGCTTTAGATTGTACCTTGCAGATACATTTCTCTCTCGCCCAATTTTTACTCCAGAGTAGGGATCTAGATTGCAGGGATCTCAATCTGGATCATAAAAGCCTGTCCTACCCTCCTGCTCCATGCTTGAGACCTGGTTTAGGTTCTTCCCCCTTCACCTTCAATGGAATAAAAGTGAAAAAATATAGATGCAGTTGTTAGACACCAATCTAAAAGAATGTCTCATTTTGTCCTAGGCCTATATTTTTTACACTGGTGTTTATTGCAACAATCCTGATTTATATTGGGGCAAAGATTAAGAACTACGTGAAGGAAGCTGAGTCATATCCAGCATTCAGTAGTTTTTAGGTACACTTATTCTTGCATTCCTTCTTTCCCAACAGGGTGGTGTGGAAGAGAAAGATCATTCTCACTGGAGGCTTGAACTGATTGTTTGCAAAGGGTCCCATGAAATTAGGCTGAGATCTATCAATTCTCCATTCCTGGTAATAAGATCTGCTTCTTTGATATCTTGGAGAAGATAAAACTTGAAGCCTAAGTCTCAGATATATATTACCTGTGGGTCCCTGCCCAATCTTTGTGGTTCTCAAAGGAAGCATTTCTGAGGATGGGCTGCACTCATGAGGTCTAGAACATTTAATGGTGCAGCACCTGTCCCTGGAACTCTACTGGTTCCCCTGGTTCCCCTGTTCCCCAGTTCACACAGCCTATACTGAATTGTGTTCCAGGCAGCTATGGTTTGTAGCATTTGCTTATTTATTTGCATTGTGTTGCTTTTGCTTATATTTGTTGTTATGATGCAATGGCAACATATGTACCCTGCTTTGGTACTTCTGGGGAAAATGGTATATACATTTGAGTACATTTTCCCCTGAATTTGTTTCAACCATTTTATATTAAAATTCAAATTAGGGAACACACTTCCAACAAGATATTCCAGAAGCTAGTATATCCAGGTGTTCTGACTTCATAAATCCTAGATGATGGTGTAGTAGAAATGACAGTAAAATACCATTTTAAAAATGTACAGAAGGCAATGTCTAATAGGATCACAATGAAAAGCACAGGTTAATATTCAGTAAAAAATACACCAGTGAATATAATAATGAAAAGTTTTCTTGCTGACTTGGCAAATGCCTCTTGATTTGTGCATTTTCAGCCAACTACCTAGCTAGTATCTTCATTTCTTTGAATTATTCAAGGTGATGTATCCTAATGATCAATAATGGGCCAATACTATTACCC